TATGTCCACTTCCAGCCCTTTATCCTGCTGTTTCTAAAGGGAAAGTGAGGCCAGATGGGGCAGTCCTAAAGGTGAGTACAGAGCTGGCTGCCCCAGCTTCCCCTGGTCAGAAAAATAATGCTGTTCCCAGTGATTGGAGCTGAAGAGTGTTAATCTTTCCTGTGTCTAAAGGAACATCCTCAGATCGCATCCTTTAATCAGTATCCTGTCTCTCTGGGATAACTAAGTGTCATTGCTTTCACTTTTACTCAGTGAATTCCTAAGACTTTGGCCATTTCTGTGGCCCTCTCCGTGTTAATCTTACATTGGGATGCCCAGGCACAGTAAGGATACACATGTGCCTCCGTCCAGTCCCTGTACATGAGCAGAGTATGTCCAGCCTCCCTGACTGGTTTCTGAATTTTTTTTGTTTTGTTTTCAACGAGTCTTCCCAGGCGGTGGAGACCAGTTTCTGCACCAGGATGTCAGAACTCTCAAGAGTTACCTGTGGTCCTGGGGTGAGCTGCGTCTTGCCCAGGACACTTGCCCAGGACAGTGCTCTCCTTTAGCCCCTGGCATGCCCAGCTGTCCCCTTCCTGAGCAGTTCAGGGCCGTCTCCTACTACTTACTGCCTTTGTTCCACTTCCCAGGTGGCAAGTAGCCTCTGACTGTAGGGAATTTTCCCCTTGGTAGAGGGAAGAGGCGGTGATGATACCACTCAGTCCCAGGAGGATGGGCCTGTAGGAGGGAGGTGGTAGGTAAAGGAACCCCTTAGGGGTGTGGCAGGAACAGTTGAAGGTCAAGGTTTTAGTGAGTAACCAACCTCTTTATCACTTCTCACTTCCCAGAGCTCTTTCACTTTCCACGCCTCCCCCTTACCGGGACTCTGAGGCAGGCAGGGTGTAGATTATGTTCCTTTGAAACATGAAGAACCAGACACAGAAAAATTACGTACTTTGCCTGAGGACAGAAAGCTAATGACAAAGCCAGGAGGCTCTCTGTTAGGAAGAATTTTTTAAAAGAAATTTGTATGGCTTGCAATTTGTTAAAAAGTAATGTACAGGGCAATTTTTAGAAAAGTAGATTCTGGAATTTGGAGCGGGGCAGATCCACTGTTAATCACTAGCCTGATCCTTCTTGCCTGGACAGTCCTTTACAAGTGGCCTATTTCCCAAGTAATGTTGGGCTTAACTTGGACATCATAAATAATAGACCCATGACGGCTGTGGGAAACAGTAGGCGGACATCAGAGTTTTTCTAGAGCCTCTTTCCTTCTCTTAGCTGAATGTCTAAAGATGCTTCCAAAAAAGGCACGCTATACGTATGTAGACCAACCTTGAGCTTCTTTTTAGAGTATGAATTGCTGCCCAAAGGACACATCAAATAATCTCCCAGACTGTAAAACCACTCAGTTCCATTCTTGCAGTTGATGCCAGACACTAAAGCCAGTTTCTTCCAGTCCTCTTTCTTGTGAATTTAGTCCTTTTGGAAGTTTCTTCCAAAGATGTGCCTTTAGGCCAGAAGCCTCTCTTTTATGTCAGGGTTGGGATACATGAAATGTCAAGGGATCTATGTCCATAGATCCTAAAAATGGCCAAAGAGGCCTGGAATGTCTGCTCAAGTGCCTTGTGCCAACATGGATTTAAGGAAAATACATCCTTTTTTCCAGCCAGCAGCACAATCTGACAGGCATGGGAAGCCTGCAGGGCTCACTGCTTTATTTTGGATCCATCATAGAGAACAGCCTGCAGATGAGCTGTGGAGCCCTTATGTACCAGGCACAGGGCTAAAGCCTTTACAGTCATTATTTTATTTAATCCTTATGATAACCTTTAAAGTAGATAGCCACTCCCACTTCAAAATTAAGAAAGCAGGCACAGAAAGAGTCAATAACTTGCCTAAGGCCACCCACCTGGTAAGACTGGAGCTGGACCTCAAAGCACTGCAGGACCACAGGGCAATGCTGTCTTCAGCAAGCCACCACAAGGGGGCGCCCTGCCCATGTCCACTCTAGCTAAAGGTGTGTTTTATTTCTCCTGGGGATGTGGGGTGGGGCACAGTTCATATATCCTTCTTTCCCACAGTTTCTTTCTGTCCAAATGTTGAGGCCATTTCAATATTGGAAAGTTTCAGAACAATGTAAATGTGTCCACCAGTATCAGCCACTGTAATTCCAGGTCTTAAAAAAAAAAGCAAAGCTCCCTGAAGGAAGCCACTGTACTGTGAATAAAAAAAGCACATTTTATAGTTGGAACCAGATTTTCCCTCCTGAGGCAGTAACTAAAAAGGATTGATTTAAAAAAAAAAACTAACAGAAAGCTTCAGGTTTCAGTCATCAAGGATGTGGTTTTACAATTAAACAGAGCATTTGGTGCACTTGATCAGAGCAGGTAACAGGTATTTTCTTCAGAAATTGTGAATCACCCAAGCCATGTTTTAGATCTCAGGGTAAAGTTAAGAATTCACGGCCTCATTTTTCTTCTTTCTGGTTATCTGACAAATAACCAGAGTGGCAAAACTGGTGGGGGATACGATGTCATAGGACAAAGGCTTGTATCCAATGTTGACAAGTGACACTTGGGACTTGCAGGAATGGCGATTCCTGAGTAGCCTCTGACACATCTAGGCCAGCCCCCATTGAAACAGGCATCCTTGAGCCGGTCGACCACATAAAGACAGGAAAAAAATGTGTGCTCTGTAAAAACATCTCCACTCCATCTCAGAGAATCAAAAGCATTTACAATGTCTAATACACAAAATGTGGACGCAGTGACAATACACCTCAGCGGTCAACTCAGAACCTCTTAGGTCCATCCGCTGGTTCCTGTGAGACTGAGGGAAGCAAGGTGGCTTTGCCCCACCAGCCTACAATCAGCAGTGCCCAGTGGGGCGGACCCCCGAAGCAGCCCCCCTGAAGACCTGCAATGCCCAGGACTATTATGACTCATTAGCAGAAAGAAGAAAATGTGGCAGAAAACTTCAGGGGTGGGAGGGGGTTGGGAAGTGAAAATATGACTCAGGAAATCCTGAGGCTCTAGACGAGGCTCAAGGGAGAAAATATAATGGGGGTCAAGGCAGGAGGTTGCACTATAGCAGTAATCAAGTTTAAATGCACATTATGTTTAATTTCCTTGAGGGCTTTAATTTGCTGGTTTAAACCTAATGAGCATCTGGGGAAGCCAGGTGCCTCACCATCCAGGCCTGCTGGAGCCATTTTATTTCTTTAGCAAAAGACAAGATGGCCAGGGGCAAATTTGGGAATAAAATGTGTACATTTTCCAAAAGCTCCCCAAGTAACTGTGACATGTAGCCTGGATGGAGAAGCTGCCCTAAGTGGCTATAAACCGGCGCTGTACTGCAGGTAAGGTGGAAAAACAAGGCGAAGGGCACGGAGGGGAGAAATGTGACTTGGCGGGTGGGTATAAAGATCAGTTTTGCAATCAAACTGTCTCTGGCTCTACAAAATCATTTCACATATATGCAGTTTCTGGATTTTCAAAAAGCACACCAAAAGGAAATCTGTCTTTTGCAACATCTTGTTAAAAGAGGGCTATTAGCGCACTCAGGTTTAGAGAAACAAAGTGAGCATTGCCGTCTGGGTGGGATGTGTTCAGTGTCTCAGTCTTCACGTTTCTCATGCTCTCATCATGGCCCACTTGAGGCACTTCCCGGTTCCACCGACCTTTAGGAATACTGCCACCTGCCCACCCATGGCCAGATGTGACTTTGGGGGAAGCTAGCAGCGCAGTTCAGCTCTTTTCTCGATGCCAGCTGTGTGCATGCCTATATGGATGTGCATAACTGTGTCCAGCTACCACCCAGGTTCACCCACGCCAGGGGAAAGAGGCACACAGAAGGGATATCATCAGGAAATAACATGGAGACTTTGCATTTGTTTGAGATTTATTCCTGGTATTTTTCTCCCCTCTCTTCTCTCTACTTCGCCCTGCCCTCAGTCTGCTTGTTTAGGCAGACGATGATTGATGAGTCAATACAGCTGACCTTTGGACAATGTGAGCATTAAAGGTGCAGCCCCACCTCCCTCAAATAATTGAAAATCAGCCTATAATTTCACAGTTGGTCCTTTGTGTGTGGTTGGCTGAATCCAGATTCAACCAACTGAATTTTGTAGTACTGTAGTATGCATCTATTGAAAAAAATCCCGTATATGTGGACCCGGGCAGTTCAAACCCATGTTAGGACAAACGTTTTTCCTAAGTGTGTTCTCATTGACAGCAAGGAGGAAAGGCATCATTGATTTTTGTCTTAAACCTTGTATTCTCCCATAAAATTTGAGAGTTGCTTGTGGTATAATTGCTAGCAAAAATTATATTAAGAAAAAAGATCATCTTTGCAAATCAGTGGGTTGATAATTAGTTTGTAAGAAAGGTGCCTTTAAATATCTAATGACTCAAGGCCAGGTACTCATCTAGCTGAACCATCTCTCTGTCCTTTCTCTGCAAAGTGGAGGTGGTAGCCTTTCCTTTACACTTGAAGCCCTCCCAGGAAATACTTCAGAGTCCTACTTGCTTCACCCAGTGTCCATGACAACTGTTCTGCAACAGTCGTCACCTCAGTCACTTCCTTTGAAAACAAGCGGGGCAATGCGATAACTTGCATTTGCTTTTCCATAAAAATAAATCGAGATAATTTGACTTCTTTCCAATTTAAAAGGACATGAAAGTAGTCTGCTGAATGAGGGTGTGTGCAATAATAAGCACTTGAGTTGAGACATCACTAGTATCAGCAGAAAAATAACTATTAATCAGCTTAACTGCTTTGCCCGTGAGAAGGAAAAAATCTTAACTCTTCCTGGGTAGAAGCTCATTGTCTAAGTTAATTTTAGTTAGCTCTTTAGTCTTTTTTTTAAATTTCAAGTTCTCCCAGTCAAATGTCCATAAGAAAACTTACCAGAATGGCTCCTGTAGGCACACAGGTTCTTCCCATTAGCATCCAAAGGGTGATGCCTGCCTATCCGGTAGTGTTTTATAGATTTCGAAAATAACTGACAGAAACGAACATTCATCGCGGTTAAACTATTTAATGATAAAATTAGAGTTTGCTGTAATAGTGAATCACAGGGCAAGTGTTACTTGTCTCTGAAAGGAACAAAAATTATCTTTGACGTGTTAGAGAACTTCTGGAGAATGAATAACTGTACAACAGACATTAGCAGTGTTACAATTCTAAAAATTAAGAGCAAAACCTATCTTTAATATCCTTTATTGAGGACATTCTGTAAATATTTTTACATAAATGCACAACCTTGGTTAGCCACAAAAGTAGTATTAAGACAAATTTCACTGTAATTTTAAGTCTAACACATAATCTTTTTTTCAGAGCTTAAAAAAGGTAACTACTGATCTTGTTACATTTTACAAATACATTCTTTAATATGAAACATTAGCCTGAATTAGTGTCTACTTCCTGTACACAGGTATCTAATAGGACTAGTGAAGAATACTGCAGCTGCGCTCCAGGTGGAAGTGAGAACACTGGGAAAATCTTTATGCGTTGTCAATACGATTTAAGAAAGCCTTCACAGATACTGAGTATTTCCAAAACTCAACAGTGAAGTGCGGAAATGAAACAAACGTCTTCTAGCAAGCCACTGAATTGCTCCCAAGTAATGTAAGTTATTTTAGCAATTTTCTCTACGTTAGACTGTATTAATATTTTGTATAGCAGCACCTTCCACAAAAGGATAGCAAAGAACTTCATGTGTGCCATCACAGGGCTCGCTCCTCTGCAAAAAAGTTAGGAGTCCAGGAGGGGCCGGGGTTGCTTTTTGGCCTCTGTGGGGTGGAAGCCTAGGTAGGACTTGGACACAGGGAGGTCAAGGGCATGACCACAGCCTGGAAGCAAATCAGGAGAGGATGCTAATAAAGATGCAAATAGACTTTCTTCTAATCCAGGCTATTTCCAGTAAGACTTAAGTCTATCAGGATAAACAGTAAAGAAAGAGGGCAAGATGTTGAATACCTATATTTATGAAGAGTAACTATCACAAGGCTACCAGGAAGGAGGAATCTCAGATTTCACAGTATGCTTATGACCTCACCCTCTGCTATTTGAGAAGCAGCTTCACAAACACTGTTGTTAGATAGTTGGCAACAAATTTTATATTTGAGTTTGGCCGATTGTCGGGGGGTTTTAGATTTACCCTTTCAATTATTTATACCAACTGTCTATCTATGAAGCTAGAATCCAGCTTGGGAAGGTGAATATATGTGTGTGTGCGTGTGCATTTTCTGACCGAGGTCTGCAGTCAACACCTATTTGGTGTGATGTTTTCAGCGTTTCTTAAAAATTATAAATGTGTCTAATGATACTCACCAGATACCAAGTTCCTTGCTTCTTTAAAGTTTTAAGACACCAAAAACAAAAAAGTACAAAATATTAAACTTTATAGGGTAAACTATTTAACTTTACAGAGTTTTCTTGAACTGGATCATTTCCCTAAGAGGATCCAGAAATTTGTCTCTGGTAAATCCTATCTCCCTTTTGATATGTACCAAGATCATTTCCCCCCCACAATAGCCTAATTTTCTATCACTTTGGGAATGCTTTATCAGGAGAATTTAAGCTATTTAAATCAGCATAAATAATCCCAAAGTCATTGTATGCTGCTATGTAAGAGGCTACAATACACATGGCTTCAGTCGGCTCAATGGATAGAAAGGGGTCCTGAAGATCCAGGCAGCTTAAAAATCAATGCACCGCAGCGGGAGGCTGAGAATGTGTCTGGGATGTGCAGCCTGCCTCCTTGTTTCATGAAGACAAAGCACAGCTTCTATTTAGCATTTTAACCCTCTAACGAACCAAATTCCCAGACTGAAAAGCCCAGGACAGTGTTGAGTAATACGGGATCGGAAAGTGTGTGAACTGACTTTATTCAGTCTGACTGCAATGGAAAGGCTTCCTGACTGCTGTTTTATGCCAGACCTGGCAAGTTGCAATTGCCATGAAATGTGATGTGTCAAGAAACCCATACTTTAAATTACATTAAGTAAACAGACAGCAGTAGTAACAACATAAAAACCTCCAAAAATCAGATACCAAGCTATTGATGGCCATTTCCCAAGGGCATTGTGAGGGTGTCTCTGAAATGCATGACTTCGTAAAAAAAAAAAAAAAAAAAAAAGATTTTTAATGTAGTATCTTTTCACGTTATCATTTGCACAGACCTTTATCTGGACAAATCGATTCTTGATTAAAATCCAAGCTCTTTTCAAGACCAGCTAACTTAGTAATTGGGGACAGTGACAAAAGAAACATTTGTGAATGCACAGAGGTTTTACAAATAGGCTTTTCCTTGGGTCTTTAATCTCAAATTTTTATCCTTCATTTGACAATTCCAAATAATCAGCCTGGAAACAAGTAGTGGAAGTACTTAAACTGTAGCTCAGAAAGTAGATTTCTATCTGTGATTCTGATGGTTTTTTTTTTGAATGCTGGTGATGGCTCATGCACGAGATTACTACACAAAAAGCAAAATCTAAGACTGCTGTTTCCCCTGATAAATCCATTTGTTTTTCATAATACAGACTTACATCTCAGGATATAGAATCTTAACCTTCAAATTAAGAGTGGCTAGGAGACTGAGTGAAACCAATCACTGCTTGAATTTTATTTTCAACCAGGAACAGTAACAGCTGATGTCACTACATAAAATGTCTTCCTGCTTAATATCAGGGGAAGAAAAAAAAACATGTTGCCAGTATATCATTTGGTCAAAATTTCATATTCAAACTACTGAAAAAAAAACCTTAAAAAAAGGGAAAAGACAAACATACGCATACACACAGTGGAAAAGAACTGAAGCTGATGCTATGCAGCATTTCTTAGCAAGGTTATTAGGGAAATGTATAAACACAGCATCTTTTCTTTCATACTAACATCTGAAAAGGCAAAACAAAACCCCCTAAATGTCCGTATTTTGGAAAAGAAGCAAGCGGAGGTCTGGAATTCTTGTAAAAACTGCTGAACAAACTTCCATTTCTCTTAAGAGGTCATCAGGAGAGGCAGTTTCTCAACATTTGTGCTTCATGGCAAGCTAAACAGAGAGAGGGACACAAGTAAGATATTAGCAGCCCCAGGAGTCTTCCTGCTGCGGCCGAGCACTGTTACTACCCACAGCGGCACCTGGTAGGTGTGCACCATCTCCCCAGACCACCCACTGAGCGCTGCATTTGTCTCCCCTCCTTACAGTGATGGCGGTGAATGTGTCCAGGTCCCGGAGGATGTTCTGTGATATTCCTTTCATTTCACTGAAGGAGCAAATGGAAAAGGCAAAGCGCAGGCAGAACAAGCGACCTACCCTACAAATCAGTGGGAGTAGAACAGAGGCCTCTGGGCTCCCAGGTTGGTGGTTATCCAGGAAGACCAACACTCCTCAAATGTAAGTATTTACTGACATCTCATAAAGTATTACAAATCACCAGCTGTAGAGAAACAGTCTGCAATAAGCCACGTAACATCCTGGACATTCAGTGAGGTCCAAAGCACTTGACAGAATGTGTCACTGAGCACGGCTGAACAATAGACCAAATTCAGACCTTGATTTACGACTCCCGCTGGTGTTTGAGAAATGTTGTTTATTGAAACGTAAGGTCTTTATAAATGGGAACACCAGATACCACTGTATCATGCAATAGCTTCCCAAGCCAGCTGGAGCCCACGTTGATATATTTAAGGAAATGTATGCAGGTACAAAACATAAAAGTAAACCTGATACTGCTTTCCTTAGCCAGATTCTTACCAAGGAGCCCATACGCTGGTGTGAAGCAGAAGGTAGGGCGGAGGCTGACCTATGGGAGTCCTTGTGTGTCCAGCGTCTGCTATTAGGGATTGACTCTGAGGTTGGGGCTGGAGTGACTGGGAGTAGTCGTGTTGCTAAATCAGTCTCTACTCGGGAAACCTTAGCTCTGGGCGTGCCTGGCTGGGTGAAGCCATCCTAAACCACGGACCTTCAGTAGTGCTGACACCAGCAGTCAATGGTCAGATGGTGTTCGTGAAGTCCCGAGTATGCCCAGGCTGCCCTGCTAAGTAAAGTGCTATAGGTTTTTGCCAGGAAGGATGGAGGTGGTTACTAACTCTTGACCTCGGAGAGTTTATAGTTCAGGAAACATGGTGGGTGGAAGTGGCAGGGCCGGTGCTCTCCCTCAGATCCGTCCCACCCCTCAGCGCTCGGAGCCCCTCCCCTGTGTGGCCTCCACTTCTTGCTTTGTCCCTAGGTTTTATACGTTATTTAGCAATGCAGACCATTCAGATCCACACAGAGCTGTTAAGTATTGTGCATAATGAATACCAACCATAAATATTTGATCAGTGCTGCTGTCCTGTTATTCACTGAGCTGTTAGCCTTCAGCTAATGGGCTTGTGCCAGTTTACCCACAGCCATTAATTCTCAGCAGTGATGTGCTGCTGCTCACACTGGGCCCTGGTCACCACTCCAGTGCAGCTGGAACTGATGCTGAGGGAGCCCCAGCTGGGCAGGGCCGCGCCAGCTCAGCTTTAGACATGCAGCTGGTTTGGACATTTTGCCATTTGAGTTATTTTTGTGGGAAGTGCCAGCACTTTTTATGCTACCTAATTTTTTTTTCTTTAATTTCCTGGGAGTTAGAAGCTTTAGAATACGGAAGGCAGGGTACTGTTGCTTCCCTGCTGCAAATTGCTGTATGACCTTGAGCTCTAAAGTCACGACTGCTCGGTGCCTCAGTTTTCTCATGTCTGTAAATATCTCCAACTCAAATGCTTATGGATTAATTTTGATGTCAGAGTTCCTATACAAGTTAAAAATTTCCTTCTGCTATTTTTTTTTCAAACACATGGAAAGCTTTCTCTTTCAAAACTGTAAATAGCCCCATCTTAGTAACAACAGCAATCATGGAGAAAACCATTACTCACACTGGGGGTGTTCTTCAAGAGGCCTGGGCTCCTGAGGTCCCTTCTGGCTCAGACCCACGGGAAGCAGATGACTGTAGTAGGGACAGAGGCAGCCATTCCTGGCCAGTGAGGGAAATGCCACTTACCACTCCCTCCCCCACAAACGTGGGCTTGTGCAAAATAGGGCAGATCACTGCTCCTTTCTGGGGGAAATGTCATCTGAGGATGCCTAGGTGTGGGTACCGCTCTCGCCTGCTGACTCACCAGCCGAGGCGGGCGTCAAAGTGCTTTTTGGGGCAGGGAGAGAGAGCAGGCCTGCTCTCTGGCCTCTCCTGAGATCTGAGACTGTGCCAAGCCCACAGCTCAGGAAGGAACCATGCTTCTCCAAGCCAGGCTAAATGGAAGTGGGGGAAAGGGGATGCAGGTACATTTCTATCAGCTTTACAGGAGGCAAGCAACCAGATATCTTGATGGCAGGGTCCTGTGAAGGTGATTCACTCACTAATGTACCTGGATCACTGTCAGGGTCCTGGGAAAAGCCTAGGAGATCCTCTTCTATTGCAGTCTAGAAGGTGTGCCCTACTCTCCAGCTGGGGTTGTGTGTCCTTATTCAGCCAGGGAGTCCAAAGGAACTGTCACCCAGAACTGCCTCGCTCTATTAGGGCTCTAACGTATGTACTGTGTGTCAACTTCTAAACATAGCCATGTTGAGGGGAGCGGAAGGCCTGGGTTCCATCTCTGAACTCTCTCCTTACCAGTAGGCCTGGCGGGGTCTCAGCCAGTAAATGATAGCATCGTGGTCAGCCTGTGCCAAGGGGACAGATCAGTCCTAGTCCCTGGGAAAATGGCCACACCTTATTAAAAGGGGTCAGTCTCCTTGTTAGGAATCCTGCCAATGCTGTGATTCATAAGCACACATCCGTTTTAGAAAACTACAAGTCTGGCTGCCATAGTGTCTTTCTCGCACCTCCTCAAACATACTTAACAGACACTAGCAGCTCCCAAACCCCCTGCCCTTATAACACCCCCTGGAGGGGAGATGAGAGTAAGTGGAGACTGCCCCATACCTCATCTGTCTCTACCAAAGCAGGTGACTGGCCGGCACGGTCCTCCCAGTGGGCAGGGCCCCCTGGGCCGTTGGTGGCCTTGTCAGCTTCTGTTCTGACAGGTCCAGTTTTTAAGAGCCGCTCTGTGTCTAGACAGGATCGGCATTCAGCAGGATGCCTACTTTGGAGGACACAAAATCTTCACCTCCAGTCCCTCCCCACCCCTGTCCTGGGATCCTGGGTCACGTTCCTCCAACCCCCTATGGTTCTCAGCATATGACCAATTAGGGCAGGTTCGGCAGAAACCATTTTTATGGAAATATAACTAGTATTAATTGAGGTTTATATGCAGCAAGTACGGCGCTAATAGGTCTGAGTGCATTCAGTTTGCTCAGTGCCCTAGGACAGAGGTGCTACTATTAACTGGCCCTCTTTTGCTGATGAGGAAACTGGGGCTTTGAGAAATTGAGCCCTTATCCAAGGTCACTGAGACGGTAAATCAAACACAAGACGTTAACTGCCATGCCATACTGCCTCCCCAGCTGCGTAGCAGACTTGGCCACAGTGTCAGGGAAACAGTGACTGAGGCCAAGAATTCGAGCCGTATGGTTAGCTTCTCCCACCCACTATTTGTACATCAGAGGCAGACGCCGACATGGATGACCTCCAAGTATTGTCTGTTCTACCTTAGGAAGAGCGGTTTCACAGACTTCCTTGGTAACCTGGTCCATGGTTTAATCATTAACCTAAACTCTTGTTTTAGCAAAATGTTATCAGTGCACTACTGAGTGTCCTCTTCTGTCTGACAAGACACAAAAGGGAACTGCCTGCATTATCACCTTCCCAGACTTGAGGACAATTAAAAAATAATTCCCTTGAGCTTTTCTCTTCCCCAGATCAACACTTTAAATGTTTCCCCAGACTTCCACTGCCCATCTCAACCCCCACCACTTAAATCACTACACTTGCTGTTGCTATAAATGAAGCTGGGTGGGAATTCTAGCTGATGCATTCCATCATCATTTGCAATCATCAAAGGCTGGAGAAGGGAGGAGGGGAACCTTAATTCTGAGCTCGCTCACTCTGTGACAGCCACGGCAAGCAAGGCTCTGGCCCCCAGCAAGGCTGCCTGCATTTTTGGCCAACTCTGAACTCCAAATGGGCCCTCAAGGCAGCAGTGCAGTAAGATGCTGTCATAATAGGGAACTGATGACACAACGGCACAGGTCTGTGCAAAGGGGATGGAGGAAGGGGGTGTGAGAAGCATCTGTTCAGATCCGGATCCCCCTGGGAGAGACCACCCCGGCTCAGCTGGGGAGATTTTTCCCATTACTTTTCAGGTTGTCCATTCTTGTTTCCTCAGCAGAAGTGGGTTTTCTGTTAAAGCAAATTAGTTTTTTTCCCCAAAGGTCACCTGAAAAGCATATCTGAAAGGCCAGATTATGAGTCTGAGATGCCAACATTATCAGTTGTTGTTTCTGGAAACCTAAATTTGAATCACTAGCCAGAAAAGAACTTCGAATGCACTTTGTATTTGTACTTGGATCTGAAGCACGAGAACAGTAATAAATCCTCTTTTATCACCTGACCAACAGGGCCTCTCTTTCCTTTGGTTTGCGCCTGCCTTAGACAGCTGCTGCCAATAAAAACTCTCCCTTACCCGTCTGAGAGGCAGATTCTTGGTGAGTGTGTGAATGTGCGTGTGTGCACCAGCGGCATCCTCTGGACCCAGAGGTGGTGGGAGTCTCGCAGGTCAGCCTTGGAGGTCTAAGGTCCCTGCTGAGGGGAAACTAGCCCTGAGGTGCCCTGTGCCCTGGACTACAGCTTGCTTTTCATATGATAAAGAGATAAGAACACAGGATGCCGGGCTCATGACCAGAAAGGGACAGCACGAAAGAGTAAGCACAAGCAGCCCTTTCAAGCGCCGGCCAAGGCAGAGGGGACAGTCTTAGACCTGCTGCCCCGCCTCGCCCTCCATCCTGTTCCCTGGAACTTGAGCCTTAAAACTTCCCAAAGATCCAAGATCAGAGGAAGGATGAAGATGTCAGGAAGGAGACTGGTTTAACCAAAGAAACGGGTCCAAGACGAAATCTTCCATGACTCTAGTACTTAACTGATTAGTGGAAGGACATTGCATAAAGGGGCCAAAGGGAAAAAGGAGGGCTTGATTTTGTACCTCCCATCATGGGAAACACACTGAAATACAGTTTTGGGCACCGAAGCTCCTTGACAACCTCTGCAGGACCCACCTTGTGTGCAGTTTCCGCAAACTGCTGGGCGCTGTTCTTCATGTCTTCGGTCTTCTCCTCTGCGCGGCCTAACCGCTCCCCGCGCTCGTTCAAGGCCTGGCTCGCTTTCTGTACTGCGCTGGTGACGCTGTCGGCCGCCGAGTGGAGGATGCTGTTTCCTGAAGGAGGACAGCAAGTGCGTCAGAAGCTGGCTCGGCTGACCTACAGGCACAGACCCCCTGCAGGGGTGAGCACCCTGGAAATCCTAACATGTTCACAGAATCACACAAGTTCAGTGAGACATATCTGGATCTTAGGAGCACGTCCTCTTGACCTGGGGTTTAGGTGAAAAACCACAGGAAAACTGGGCACACGGAACTTCTCCAGATACAATGTCCGTATTCCTTTCAGTGTTTCCCCTCCATTTTGCCCCTTCATCCCTAAATGTATGGCTCCGTGAGAAGCTCTGGATCAGCCTCATAGTTCAGAGGAGACGCGTTGGCTCCTGACCTTGACTCCTAAGCCACGGCCTGGTTGGCTGGGCCTCTTTGCCTCCATCTCTAGGACATGAAATATGGGGCCTCGGCACTGCGCTTAGCCAGCAGGTAGGAAACAGTGACAGAAGCCTGTCCTACAAGAAACTTAGCACTCCCAGATTCACGAGTGATGATACTGAGAAGGCTGAAAACCACCACATTTCAGACAGTTGTGCAGCCCTGACATCCCATTTGCCAGGACTGGGAAACAGAATTCAACAGTGAAGAACTTGCAGACGCAAAACCCACTGAGACCTAGCAACTCGGAAAATTACAGCCAGGGGAAATTTATGGCTATATTTTGTTAACACTGAGTGGAAGATATGTAAGTGGCATTTTATGTAATAGCTTTATGTCTTTGAGTAAGTTTATTACATCATTTAACTTTGTACCTGGGATGGATACATCTAGCCACAGACAGCTTTTAATAGAAATGTAATTTCCAGTGGTCTCAGCTGCAGAAGCGTCCTAGTTTCTCCTCCGTGGGAATAGTCTGGTTTGTGGAAAAGGATCTCAGGCAAAGAAAGTACCTGGCCCCAAGGAAGCACTTTGTAAATTGTTCTCCATTTTTCTTCTTTAGGGATGGATTTTAAGGGTATGCACTAAGGGGAGGAGAATGGAGTTAACTTACTATTACTCAGTTGCATCAGGCCCTATAGGAGCCAAGATAAATCAGCACAGATGGATTGGGACCAGAGGAGATGTGGCTCTGGAGAAACCTGATTGAATGCAAGGGCTGGAATGGAAATGCTAGGTCTTCAGAACACATTTAGGAGGAATAATCCAGGTCCCCCTTTGCTCTCACATCACGACTCTGATGATAGCCTATACTATTGCGTAACATTTGAATAGCATTTTGCAGTCATAAAGCATCTTCACAAATGTTTCATTTGTCACAAAAATTCTGTGGGAAGACCGAGACTAGTTGAGGATCCGTGGCTTGCACAGGATCACATCACTGGGGAAGTGACACAGCTAGCAATTGAACCTGGTTTCCTAATGCCTTTCCTGATTCTGTACCCTTCTCTTTGCAGGTACAGCATTGGTCCTGGAACGCAATCACTGTGACAGAACTGTGAGCAGACCAGCACAGATAGGTTCTGACAGGTTATTTCCCAAGGTAACGCCTGACTGTCTCTGTCCTCAAGGTACTCCTCTTCGTAAATGAAGAGTTATTGCCTAAGCTGCACTGCAGGTCTGGTGCTCCCAGGAAGGAGCAGGCCGATGGGATGGGATGGGATGGGAAGATGGAGAAGGGACTGAAGGTGCAGGGGGTGGGGGTGGGGCACGAGAAAATCTCCCTTTCCTGCTTCCTTCCTCATATCCACGCTTAGCCACCAGAGGCTGAAGACAAGATGGGGCAGGGACGCTGCAGCTTCATAGCCGGGAACAGCTATATTAAACCAAAGGGATTTTAGAGTTAGCTGCCATAAAATGAAGAGGGTATATGGAATTGACCCTGACGATGCCCTCAAAGCCATCTGTGTTTCTGCAGTGAATCTGCTCTGCGTAAGCCATACTGCTGTCCTGTCATGACTTCCTTTTCGTTTTGTACAAGATGTCAGATCAACACTACCCCAGTTTTATATGAGAACTATTTAACCAGCAGTTGTTACAACTAAAAGAGAACCAAATGTTGTAACTGTAAGAGGGAACCAAACGCTGTCTTCAATAAAAAATCTACCTTCAGTTATTTTCAGGCATGAAGATGGATTTGAACCCATCTCACTGCCTCAGTTGAAATGTCCTCTCCTGGTTTCAATTCTACCCATATTTCAAGCTCAGTGAAGTCCCATCACCTTTCTCAAGCTTCAGGTCAGTTCCATTCTCTTCTCAACTTTGTAAGAACTGTCTGTGTCCTTCTTGGGCAGCTGATCAGACACAGTCGTGGGCAACCCTTCTACCTCATTTCTTCACCAGTAGGTGCAGTGACTTCCTAGCTGGATCGTAAATTCCGAGACGGGCCCCTTTCACTCTGTTGACCATTCCCTAAATCTTGAAAATCTTCCTCTTGACTTGGGTCTCCTGCTTGTTTACTCTCTTCTGAGATCTTGCAAATGCTGTAATTCCAGGGTTCTGTCCTTGGCCCTCTTCTCTTTCTCACTCTGCAGACCCTTCCTGGCCCAGTTCTACTCAGCTCATGGCTTCAGTGACCAAACTTCTCTCTCTTTCTGGGTTGGGCTGCTGAGGCTGCAGACCCAGACCCATGTTTTCTTACTGGACGACTCCAGATGAGTGACCCAAAGTCACCCTGAATTCAGTATGTATATACCTGACCCACTGTCACCTGCTTTCCCTTTGGGGCCCCCTGTTCAGCGAATAACCCATCTTCCCAGCGTGCTCCCCCATTCAGAAACCTGGGAGTCCAGTCCAGATTCCTCCCTCACCTTTACCACATAATGACAGGTCACCTCCTATCCAGCTCTCTACTCTTGGCCCTCGGCCACCTTCATCATCTCTGTCCAGTCCCTCTTGCCCTCAGAGTTACAGCAATAGCCTTTTGTTGTCCTGTGTCTTCACCACCTTTTCTGGTCCATCTTCCACATGCTTCCATACTAAACTTTTTTTAATTTATTTAACTGTAATCGATGTACGGGATTGTGTTAGCTTCAGGTTATTTTCACTGTTGGTTATTATCAGATATTGAATGTAGTTCCCTCATAGTAAACTTTTAAGAAGGCAAATCCGATACCATCTGCTCACTAATTCCAAGATAAAGTTGAGACTTCTGCCCTGCCTCTCTCTCAGCTCATCTCTTAGAAGCCCATCCATTTTCCCTCCTCCCTAGCCTTCCCTAATCCTACGTCTTGCCAGATTACCTAAATGTTCACAGATGTGTCATGTTTCTTTTACTTACATGCTTTCATGCTTACTGCTACCTCTGCCTGACCTCTGCTCTCATTTCAGCCTCCCCACTTACTCCTGTGCTTCAGTACCCTTCAGACCGCTCTCCTGGGAAACTCTGTCATGTCTAGCCTGCCCTGTACCATAGGTTCCCCCACATACACATTACCTTGTGTCTGTTTCAGATGGTGCATTTATTACGATGCCTGTAATTGTTGGGTATCTAGTGTGCCCTCCTTGAGGGCAGGGACTGTGCCTCTCTCATTAATGTATCTCCAATCCACGATACACAGGAGACACTCAAAATGCTGGTTGACATAGAGACAGGAGGTATATATCATCCTTCTAATGCTCTCTCCATGGCTTGGCAGAGGGTTGGACACACGATTGATGCTGCTACATAATCTAACTAGGTTCTGAAATTCTAAACTTGCCAAATGACTAAGGATTTATTTAGTCTGTGTCTAATGAAGCCAACTATCTCATTTAGAGATTGTGCCAGGAATTCAGTGAATTAAGTTAACAACAAAATGCAGAAAGGGGAATGCTACTGCTATAGTAAAAGTAAAGGGAGAGCTTATTAAAAAAATCTGTTGTGATTAGTCTTAAAATAAAGAACTTTAAGGTATAAAAATAAAAGAAGTTAAACAGCTTCGTAAATCCAATGCAGAAATAACAGCTGCCTGAACACTTACTGCGTTCTAGGCACTTACTAAAGTCTGCTGCTCACAACAACCTTATGTGTTGGGCATATCACTGATCCCATTTTTACAGATGGGAGCACCAATGAACACAGAGAGGGTTGGCAGTGCGCCAAGGATCAGACAGGAAGTGAACAGCAGAGCCAGGTTCTGAGCCCAGGCAGCCCAGCTGCAGAGCCAGTTCTCTGACCCACTGTTTCATTGGCTCTCCATGGGAATTCCCTTGTGTTGAGATTAATGACACAGTCTGCATTAACTATATGGAATGACTTCAGTGTACTAGTTCCTAAAGCATTTCTTAAAATCACAACACAAACGAAAACATCTTGTCATTATTACAAGCTCAAAAAACTTACTATAGAAAATTTAGAATACATCTTACTATAAAAAGGCGATAAAATTGTATAATATTCAATTGCTTCGTGATAACCACATTTACATTTATGGTACCTTTCATTCCAGTAAATTTTCTAAAACATGGTTGAGACCATACTGTATATATTTAGTACTGTGTCCTATTGTGGGTACTTTCCCATGTCATGAAGACAACTTTGAAAATACTGTTTATAAATGGCTACATGACACTTGTAATTTTTTCAGTTAGTTCCCTTTTAGAGATATTGGGTGTGTGTCCAAAAGTGTTTGGTCATTAGTTCTTTCTTTCCTTCCTCCTGGCCTTATTTATTTAGGTAGCACTGGCTTTCATCATGTTTCCTGTGTACACCACTCTATTTCGACTTCTGTATACACTGTAGTGTGCTCACCACCAAAAGTTTAGTTTCCGTCTGTCACTGTACAGTTGACCCCCCTTCATCCAGTTCACCCTCCCTCAACCTCCTCTTTCTCTGGTAGCCACTACTGTGTCTCTGCATCTGTGTGGGGTTTTTTTTAATTTTAATTAAAAATATTCTACATGAGTGAAATCATACTGTATTTTGTCTCTCCTTGACTATTTCACTTCATATAATACTCTCAGGGCCCTCTGTGTTGTCACAAATGGCACCATTTCATCTTTTTTTATGGCTGAGTTCTATTGCCTGTCTGTCTGTCTCTCTCTATATAAATACCATATTTTCTTTATCCATTCATCTATCAGTAGGCTCTGAGGTTGTTTCCATATCTTGGCTTCTGTAATTAATGCTGCAGTGAACATAGAAGTGCAAATATCTTTTTGAATTAGTATTTTTATATTCTTCAATAAATCCCCAGAAGTGGAAGAGCTGGATCATATGGTAGTTCTTAATTTTTTGAGGACTCTCCATACTGTTTTCCATAGTGTCTGCATCAATTTACATTCCCAGTCACAGTGCATGTGGGTTTTCTTTCCTCTGTACCCCCCCAACACTTGTTATTTCTTATCTTTTTGGAAAATAACCATTTTAATGGGTATGAGGTAATATCTCATTGTGGTTTTAATTTAAATTTCCCTAATAACTAGCAGAATTAAGAAAACAATCCAATTTACCCTGGCAACAAAAAGAATAAAATACCTCGGATTAAATTTAACAAAGGAGGTAAAAGATCTATACATTGAAAACTGTAAGACACTGTTGAAAGAAACTGAAGAAGACACAAAGATATTCTTTGCCCATGGATTGGAAGAATTAACATTGTTAATATGTCCCTATTACTAAAGAAATTTACAGGTTAAATGCAATCCTTATCAAAACCCCAATGATATTTTTCACAGAAATAGAACAAAAAATCCTAAAATGTGTATGGAACCACAAAATACCCCAAACAGCCAAAGTAATCCTGAGAAAAAAGAACAAAGCTGGAGGTATCACACTCCCCGATTTAAAATTAGACTGCAAAGCTATAGTAATCCAAACAGCATGGTACTGGCGGAAAAACAGGCGTACCGATCACTGGTACTGAATCGAGAGCCCGGAAACAAATTCACACATACACAAACAATTAATCTGCAACAAGGGAGCAACGAATATGCAGTAGAGAAATGACAGTCTCTTCAATAAATGGCACTGGGAAAACTAGACAGCCACATGCCAGAGAATGAAACTAGACCACGATCCTACACCATACACAAAAATCAACTCAAAACAGATTAAAAACTTTAATGTAAGACTGAAACCATACAACTGCTAGAAGAAAACACAGGCAGTACACTCTTTGACATTGGCCTTAGCAGTATCTTTCTTGATATGTCTTTGCAGGCAAGGGAAATAAAAGCGAAATTAAACAGATGGGACTACATGAAGCTAAAAAAGTTGTGCACAGCAAAGAAAGCCATCAACAAAACAAAAAGACAACTTAATGAATGGGCAAAGATAGCTACAAATCATGTATCTGATAAGGGGTTAATATAGAAAATATATTTTAAACAACTTAATAACAGTAAAAAAAAAAAAGATGAAAAAATGAGCAGAGGATCTGAATAGACATTTTTCCAAAGAAGACATAGATGGCCAACAGGTACATGAAAAGATGTTCACCATCACTAATCATTAGGAAAGTTTTACTTTTTAGAGTGAGGCTACGGTTTCTTTCTTGCATTTACATGCACACACACACAATCTTTGTCCACATCTCTGATAATTCTTAGAGGTTAAACTGCTGATTCAAAGGACATACAGGAGAAGCTCCTGTGCTTGGGACCCTTCTAGTCCTTTCTCCATGCACCTCTTGTCTGGATGTTTATTTGTATCCTTTATAATAAACTGGTAAACACAAGACACAAAAAAGGACCTAACATTTTTGAGGCTCTTGCTGCATGCTAAAAACTGCTTCCCTGAAAGACTCATTCAATGTTCAAAACTCCTCATTTGAGTGCCCGCAATGTGCCAGGCAGTGTTGTGTTGACACACTGGCAGAATGATGCTGAGGGAGTGATTTAACTGCTCTAATCTTTGGTTTCCTCGACTGTATCATCCACCTCACATGGCTGTTGGGGACATGAAGATGAGGATTTATACAAAGTGCCTGCAGGTGCTCAATAGCTGTTTGTCCCTTCACCTCCCTAAGATCACATCTGTTCTCCAGAAATTTTGGAAAAATTGCACAGTCCCACCCAATTCCTTTGCATGTCTATTTCTCTTTTTATCCTGGGGCCAAGTGTCTTGAGGCTCCCAGGAGACACTCAGATCTTTGTATACCTGCTGTGTGCAGTTCGGTGTGCTGCTCAGAGAGA